TGAGATTTATGTGCCTGGAAAACTAACTCACAAAGCCAACAAGACCCCTATGTGATAACACTGGCTGTTGAGAGGTTCTCTTTATAAGACATCAGGGTCTATTTGACCCATAATTTCTATCCTGTCCTCCATTCCAGCCAATCAAGCACAGGACAGCTGTTCACCTGGCTTTTCTGCAGGGATTTTGACAGTCTGAACCAGGCTATGCTCAGAGCCAGGACTGCTGTTAGAAACCATGGGGCCCCTTACAGCCTACCTGACAGGGCCCCCCAAATCGCAGGGCCCCATACAGCCAACCTAACAGGGAACACCCATCCCATCAAAAAAACAGTTTACTATGCTTCCGTTATGAATTAACACAGTGAGTGACTGGTACCAATCACTCATTGTGTTCAAGGAAGGGGCTGGTAAATTACTGGAACTGATCACCTGTATGTCTCTCTCTGCAGCAGCTGAAAGCCAATGTGGGGGGGGGGAGGAGAAGAATCCAGTTGTCAACTGTTGGGTAACTTAGTTTTTAGTATGGCATCTTGGTCACATCACTCTGCATGCTTTTTTTCACACCTGCCTCCTGGGATTTTTGGCTGGGACCAGAGGAGCTCTAATGCCGGTCAGAAGGCCAGGCATTGTCTCTCACTTTGGCAACCCCAAAGCACTTATTATTTATTTTTGCACTTTTTGCACAGCACTACACACTACTCACTCCCAAGTAATAGGGTGTAGGTCCTCGAGCTTGCCTAGAAAGTCTTAAGATGAAGAGAACATGGCCCTATGGTCAGGTTCTTCCTCTCCCACACAGACTTCCTGCATGGCAGCACCACCTTCTACTTCTCGGCAGGTCCTCTGAAGGATGGGATCCACCTGGTTTTGGCCTGGTGGACCATAAAGTCCCCAGTCTCAGTCAAGAGTCTTGTTTCCTGGGGAATCAGGGCCAGGGTCCTTTCTCTTCAGACAAGGACGATATCTACACCTTGTGCACTTTTTTGTAGTTAATTTTTTGTGTGCTAATTTTTTTATTGTACCTGGTATTAGTTTCAAGCGTGTACACTGCACTGTAGAGCAAAAATAAATCGGTTTACAATCAGAATTCTTTGACATGGGTTTGACTTGCAGTTGCTTACCTCTGATCTGCATTTGACCTTCTTCAAGTGGGCTTTGCATTTCTATAGATTTGTCTAGAAATGCAAAACCCATCTTTATTTTGTTATAAATAAGAAACATGCCATACTTACCTGCCCTGGCAATGGTTTTGCACAGAGCAGCCCTGATCCTCCTCTTCTTGGGTGCCCCGCTGGTGCTCCTGGCTTCTCCTCTTGGTCCAATACCCCCATAGGAAGCTTCCTATGGGGGTACTTGTGCGGGATTGCTAACGAACCCAGCTGCCTTCATCTGTGGACATAGACAGCAGGGAGCGGCCCAGCCCCACTGTTCCCTTGTCACAGAGTTTGATTGACAGCAAAGCTTTAGACCTGGCAAGTGAGGTGGGATAGAGAGGATGGAGCTGCTGTTCTCACACACATCTTTGGATCGTAATGGGGCTCAGGTAATTATGGGTTGGGGGGCTGGGCACAGAAGGTTTTTTCTATAGTAATGCATGGAATACATTAAGGTAGAAATCCTTAATGCTTTAGAACCACTTTAACAAATGGCTTATTTATTCTTCTTTTTTTTCCTTTCCCTGCTTATAGCTGCAGCGAAGAGCAGGATCTGTATGCCTCAAAGGCTCAATTGGCTGCTCTGTACCACTTTCTGTCAATTGTTTTTTGAAACCGAGTCTTCGTGACAAACATATCTTGGAAGCGTTTTTTTTATTTTTCCAGTACCTGCCTACAGCTTGTTAGGGTGCAGAAAGTGAAAAACTATATAAGCTGTCATTTTAAGGTATCACAAAATAGGCATCAATTTTGCTTCAAAATATGATGGATCACTCTGCCAAAAAAGCAGGACCTTTGCTGATATTGTTATCTCTCTGGCTTTGAATGGTGAGTCACAGTAATATGGTAGAAACAGGAGATTTCTCTGAAACATAGATAATGGGTATCTGAACTAGTGGCGCTGATCTGAAATATTTACTGCAGTTGGTAATTATAGGACACACGTTCTATGATTTCTATAATATGATTTCTGTAGAAGAGAAGAGATTTTAATTATATACTATCTATGGAAAAATAAGTCAACATTTCAGGACCTTATCAGCTTGTGTATAGGTAGGGGGAAGGGTGTATTTTATAGCAAACAGATGAATAATTAAGTGGGTTGGAGGATGTGTGGGCCAATATCTATATGCCAATAAATAAGCACAAGTGTTTTCAAGGTTTTTAAACATTATTTTAATGTGCCACTGACTAGAAGTGTCCACTTTAAATGATTGCAATTCCACCTCATTCTGCAGAATTGTTCAGCCATTAAAACTAACATAAAGCTACTCCGAGTGAAAACAAATTATTATTGCATTTTGGAATTGTAATGAGTAAATATTTTTTTGCGCTTCATGTAAAAATAATAGAAAAATGTGCAATCTGTGTGAATGCTGACTTAGTAATAACACTAATTGTTAAAGTAATTGTAAAGAAAAAATGCGGGAGCAATTAGCAATTTTATTTCTGCTTTAAATGTGAAGTTTAACTGAATTATTGATGATTAAGTGTTGGATTCACTCAGTAATGTAATTTTTGAATAGAAGATTATTGAGTGCTCCTGTTTTATAACGCAGTGAGCGAAAGGAGTTTGTTAGTTACATAAAAACATTTCATTTTATTTTGTACAGCTGAAGTAGTAATCAGAGAATTATTGGAAGAGGTGCGCTTCCTTTTCTATTATATTCACAGAAGCCTATCTTTATTCAACATTGCTAATGCTGCCAAAGTAGGTCTTGCAGTTTTAACAAGATTGAATTAATTTTTCTTTAGGATGATGGAAGATGCCTAATTCTCTTAATAGAGAGGGACTTTGGGCCTGATTTACAAAACTCCAGTGCATTTTTAATATGTGGACAACCAAATCATGCCTTCATACCAAATCATACCTATGAACCAGTGATGCAAGGGGCCAGGGGTGGGCAAGAGGGACCTGGGCGCAGTGGGAATGGGGGGGGGGGGGGGGGGGGTTGTGCTAGAAGGGGTGCTTTGGAAGGGATTTGTACTAGGAAGGTAGATTTGTGATTTATGCTAGGAAGTTGGATTTGGGGGGGGTTGTGCTCAGGGCTGTGGAGTCGGTAGATAAATGTTCCGACTCCGACTCTTCAGTTTTTTGTACTTCCGACTCCGACTCCCCGACTCTTCTGTATTAATATGCGAATGTATTTTATACATTCCTTGAAGGAAAGAAAGGCAACATACATGTCATTACCACAGGACTACTGGCTGGGAAGCCAACAGTCTACTGTATTGAACAGTTTAAGCAAAAGACAAACACAATGAAAACAACAAAGTTTTATTAATTTTTTTTTATTAATTAATCAAGTGGCTGGATAGTAGCAGCAGGCATAAACATCAGGAACAGGAACTTTACCAGTCCAAAAATACAAACCACATTATTTGGTTGTTTTAGAACAAAAACAAAGCTTATCTATATGAACCAAAAACAAAATCTGTAAAACCTAGAAATGGTTTATATTAATCTTGAAATGTAGTTATAGGCTTAGCAAATGCAAATCAATTCAATGTAGAGTTCTAAGGAAGAGAATTGCCTCTGCCAGATCCTCTTTCATAGAGGCTCTTAAGTCAGACTTTATTATTTTTAGGGCTGAAAATAATCTTTCGACACTGACTTGGGTGGGTGGCATTGCAGTAACTATTCTGGCCACATCACTAACAATCTCTGGATAAACAAGGATGGCTTCTTCAACAGTAAGTTTTGATGAGCGATCATACTTTTCAACTTCTTCTAGTGCTTTATAAAACTCCTGTTGGAATTTTTTTATTTGGACATTTACTGGTTCTGTAACGCTTAGTGGGAGGATCCAGGAAGGGGCATTTATTATAAAACATGATTTCCCTAGTCGAATCCCATAGTCATGTTTAAAGTTTAAGCTAACAATCGAAGTTTAAAAGTTTTTATAGTCTTAGCTAAATGACAGCAGTTTTTCCAATGGTTTACAGCTTCAGTCTTGAACTATTGAAAAGCATGCTTCTTCACGGTCACTTAACGTGTTCGTTTTGCGGTTACGTGAGGCACTGCATGCATTGGTCTTTATTCTTACAGTAGAGAAGTCATTCATTATAACTTTTTGTGAATTGGGACATTTAAACTTGCTTTTTTTTTAATTCCAATCTAAATTTAATCGGAGTCGGAGTCGGGGCATTGTTTGCCGACTCCGATTCCGACTCCAGGTACCCAAAATTTCCTCCGACTCCACGACTCCGACTCCAACTCCACAGCCCTGGTTGTGCTAGTAAGGACAATTGGTGGGATCTGTGCTAGGAGGAGAAATTTGGGGGTATGGTAAGACTTGTGCTAGGAGAGGGGATTTGAGGAGGGATTAGTGCTAGGAGAGGAGGATTTGGAAGCGGGGAGAGGATTTATGTTCAGAGGGGAACATCCAGAGGTAGGGGGGATTTGGGTATGGAGAGGATTTGTGCTGGAAAAGTGGGAATTTTTGTTTAAGAAGGATTTTGACTTGCAAAGGAAATTTATGCTTAGGGAATAAGTGTAATGATTAGTGCATCATTTTTTTAGGATGGAGGGAGGGAATTTTTGCTGACACATAATGCTCATACATTTTGGGGGGGATTGGAGGAACGCAGTGTTTGACATCTTCACCCTGGGTGCTAGATTACCTTGACCTGGCACTGAACATGGCTATGCAAGTAGGCTATAGAATATTCTGAGTGAAACTGATAAGAATTTATTTGATTTTTTGAAGGGAGTTCCTTAGTGCACCTTGCTGGAACCGATGGCACAAAAGCAGAATTACATTTTGATGAAAGATGGAAAACTAATACTGTGCTGCATTTATTGAACATAGATTCTGGAGTTGCTGGATAGTGATGTCTTTGCATGCTCTTAACCTCCTTAGCGGTATTCCCGAGTGTAGCTCGGGGTAACATTTCAGTACCAAAAGCGGTAACCCCGAGCTACACTCGGGAATACCATGCGGCACTGCTCCGGCATGTGTTCTTCACTTACCTTACCCTGCGCTACCGCGATGTGTCCCCTGCAGCGTCCCCGGCCATCTCCTCCGGCCGATGCCAGCATCCGGCTTCTGTGTCCTGTCCCTGTGACGTCGGGATGTACGGGCGCCGCTGCCGGCGGCGGGAAATTTAAAAATTTTAAAAAATGAAATTTTTTTTTTTATTACATTTTACATAGTAAAACATTGCTGTCTCAACCAATTTCACATACATTTTGTCCCTAGTGCTTTGTCCTGTGCCCTGCCTGCATTTTGTCTGTTCTTTCTGCCTGGAAACTGAGAAACGTCCATGGCATCCAAAAAGTGTCCCTTTAGGTCAAAAGCGGTTTTAGATCAGCTAAAGAACAGCGATAGTAAATCAGAACCACTTGCAGAATTGAGTGATAATGATTCGTGGGGAAATTCGTCATCAGACACTGAAAACGATTTTGCGACTGAGCTCAGCGATGTGCGAACTTGGCGCTATATTTCAAATTTCAGTGTTTTTGGTTTGATTATATTATTGAATTAAATTTTTTATTATTTTTATATTATTTTTATGATTATTTATTAAATTATAATTTATGATTTTGTGTTTCAAATTTTATCATACCCGGGATGTTTACTAGACTCTTGTTTGGACAGATCTCAGTGAGTTATTCCTAAATATTACAGGCCTACAATTAAAAAAATACATATTTCCATGCAAAAAAATGGTACCGCTTTCAGCACCAAAAATCTGAAATAATCATACCGCCAGGGAGGTTAAGCAAGCCCACAATGCAGTTGCAATTTATCCTTGCTTTTGTTAATTTGCTTTAGCAAATCAGACCATATCTGTCCAAATTGATTTGTATTTTTTTTAAATGAATAGGAACAGCACTCTTAGCAAGGCAGTGGTGGTGGGTGAGGAAGTTGTGATCAGTTTTCAAAAACCTTACATGAATACACTCTAGAAAATTACTGCTGGTTTGGTGAGTGAGAGTGATCCACATTCCTTTCCATGATGATTTTATGCAGTTCACTGGGGTCCAGACAAATGGCACTAGTTGCTAATTAAAAAAAAACCTGAAAAAAATCCTTTCTCCCTGACCCTCTTAAGTCATTTCTCCCTTACCCCCAACAACAATAGTTTATGCTTTTTATTATAACTTACTTTTTCTGATGTATTTCATGAAAGTCTTTTGACACAGCCCTCTTCAGTCTTATTCTGGTAAGTGTGCGGTCCTGCATGTTGAATCTTGATGTAATGACATCACCATCACTCTTTTCCATTCTTAGGGGATGGGGCCATGACACCCAGCAGAGTACAGCATAGGACTTCAGGTTAGTATAGCACTATTGCAACCATAGCTGTTTTTTGGGGGGCTCAAGAGACATTTAAAGAAACAGTCCAGAGCTGAGCTGTAATACCTACCTGTCCTGCTGCCTGTAATACTGATCTTCAATGTCTTTCATCTATGAGATTTTTGGAGAACCTTCAACATCTGAAGCACTTTCAAAGCTACTGATATGGAACAACTCCTGATCTGCATACCTCTTCTGGGCTAGCGATGTGGCTAGCAATGTACAGAGAGGTCAGCAATGGTAGCCTTCATAAGATTTCAATACTAGCTTCCTTTTAGCTTTCATCTTTTAGTGTTTCAATATCTCCCTGAATATCTTAGTATTATACGTTTACAGGCAGTGTGCTCATGTTGGTTTCTTCCCTGTGCTTTTGTTGGTTTTTCTCCTAAACTCCAAAAGACAGGCTGGTAGGATAATTGGCCCCTGCATAAACTGAGCCTACTATGCGAATGCATTGTATGCATATGGGATAGGAACCTCAGATTTGAAGTTCATTGAGGACAGGGACTGATGTGAATGAATAGTATGTAAAGTTCTTTATACATACCTGCAATAAAAAAAAATACATATTGCTCAATGTTATGGGGTGCTAAATTATACCTATCTGGCAGCTAATGAGAGATGACATAACTCATTCCAAATGTCTGCTGTTTAGAGATAAAATGATCTGATGTATTCCTTGCTTCATTTGATCCTCCAGCTGTTTCTGATTTGCAGCTGATAGAGGTAAACACATATTGTGCATATTAGTCTTATTTTCAGTAAATGTTGGTTTAAAGCATGTTTAAATCCACAAACAAAAATGTAGGAGCTTAGTAGACTTTAGATGTGTAGGATGTACTAGTTTTATTTTTTAGGCTAAGAAAATTTATTGCAAGTACAGAAAATACCCATTTATGTTGCCAAAAGTGCAGTGCTCTTGTCACTTCACGTGAATGTAAAGTGTTACTAAACCTATGACCCTGCATTCACTATATCTGGTCTCCCACAGAACATGGAAATGCAATTATTTTAGTAAATAATTTTAGTAAATACCTTCTCTAATCGACAGTCTTGTGACTTCTATCAGTGTCCGGCTGAGCACTGGTTACAGCTTGTAGGAGTTTTCATTCTCCCCTAATTGTCCTATGAGGCTGCAGCACACTTGACCATCTGTCTGGACAATGCTGATTGGCCCTTTGCTTATCACATGCATTGTCCCAAAAAAAAAAAAAAAAAAACTCTTGCAATACACAGCAAACTGAGCATGTACAGCTTGCCCCCAAGGCTCTGTGCTAGCAGCAGATGGATTGGGGATAGTAGAAGTTGGGGAGGATCAGAGAAGACTTGATTAAACAGCCTTTTTCACAATGTGGAGAATTAACCACTTAGTTTCCACAGTGAGTATAACAAGCAAGCTTTACTGCATGTCCAGACTGATTTTTCTGTTGTGGGTTTAGTAACACTTTAAAAGAAAACATCTTTATCTTTTTTGTGTGAACTACTAGTCCCATCAATCCATCATGTAATGGAGATGACCAGAGGCAGACATGTTTAAAATCAAGCCTAAGTGACAACCATGGTTCCCTCCATAGATAGAGTGGAGGACCAAACGCAGTGAAGTGAGAAGTGTGTTATTTGTAGGATTACCAGGTAAAAATAAAAGGAAAATAAAGTCTGAAAGAAGAAAACTATCATAGCCACTCCGTTTTAGGATTGGTAAGCTTCAGTATTATACATTCTTGTTTTTGGGTTTAGATGTGCTTTAAATTACAATAACCTGAATAGAAACCCATAATGTTTAGTAGTGGTAGCATTTTTAACCCATTGCTTTGAAAAAAGCTAAATTCAGGTAGGTTGGTTGGGGGTTGGTCAAAAGTTAAACGATTCTTTGAAATATGTTGGGATTTATGTAAATATACAATCCAATCTCATTTCTCAGTGTAGCTTACAACAGGTGATTTAGGTGATTTGTTGTCTAAAAAGCAGTTACTTGTGATCACTGACTTTATGTTTCTGCCAGTACATGAGATCTTCATAAATATGTGTAGCGCTTACCTTCAAAGGAGATGCTGGATGTATTGGGTCCCCTGTTCCTGTTCCCACGACTCTACAAATAGCACCACACCACTCTGATACACCAGACTGGGGGAATATTTATTACAGATATATACACAGTACACCAGTAGCAAAAGAGATATTAAACCACAGTTTTGATGTAACAAACAGTTAAACTATAGCAAGGAATATATTGCAATTTGGTGAACAGCAGAAAGAAATATACTGTTTAAAACAAGCAATGGATGTAGAGGGAATCTTCTCCTAAACCCTATACTGGGGCAATCCTAAGAATATATATATATATATATATATATAAGAATTATACTACTCTAACAGTTCAGCAGTCCATAATATATTCTTTTCTACTGGCCAGCTCGTTGGGGCCCAACTGTTTGGTTTGGTCAGGATGCAGTATTTTCTCTTTAAGTACTGACAATGACGGCGGACGGAGCGCCGGGAAGATGGCGGAGGAATACGGGGCTATTAGATCCTAAACATAGCTTTACTACATTCAACATCCAGAGGAGGGAGCCCTGTATCCAGACAGTTCACCCATATCCTTAAAGGAGTCCTCTAAGTTCAGCCAGCCGATCATTGCTTGATGAAAACTTTTCCCTGAGAGATGCCTCATCATCTACCTGCTGTTTCACACCTGGGTTGATGGATGTTTACATTTTCTATGCTCCGTCAGTGAGTGCGCATTTCTGTCATTTCCTCTGTCACAAGCCTTTATGAGATATCGACAACTATGGAAGTGTTCTATTAGTGCCTTATATGAGTTTATTGACTGCACAAACTTTTTAAACAAACTTTTATTTCATTTCACTTATTTATTGATTACTCATTTTAGCACTGCACTTTATATTTTACCATCAGTTGGGGCCCAACGGTTTTGTTTGGTCAGGATGCAGTATTTTCTCTTTAAGTACTGACAATGACAATGACTCTGGTCACTTTAAGCACTGATAATGTCACTGGCTCTGTGATACTCACAGGCAACACTTTCCCTCTTTTGTCAAAGTGTAATGTGGATTTTGCCAGCAGCCTCTCACCAACTTCTTGTGTTAGCAGGTAGTCTCCCTCCGTATCCTGAGTGAAATACAGCTGGTCTGAGTCCACAGTGTCTTTCCTTCTTGTTCAGGCAGCGGGCTCAACAAACATCCATGGAGCTCTCCAATATCCTCAGATTTCTGTCTCCCTCTCAGGTACAGGGGTGAGCAGTCTGCCAGCAGCCACATGTGCACACAGTCCTCCCAGAAACAAACTCCACACTTCTCCTCCTCAGCCCAGGAAAACAGCAGGAAGCCACCACTCCTCTTTGCCTTAGTGCTTTGCCCCAGTGCAGGCTCCTCTTTCTAGCTCATGAAGCTAGCTCAGTCTGTCAGAACTACACCTCCCACAATTCTTGCAGTCTTCATACTGTGTGCATCCTTATGCAGTGTCTGTGTAAAGGTCACCTCTGCAAAACAGACAGTTGCAGACTGAGCGGCTTATGCATACCCTCTTTTCTATTTTCCATGTAAATATGTTAGAAAAAAATGACAGTAATTACTTCACCAGATGGTGGGATTGTCTAACCAGCAGCTCAGATGGACAATGTGGAGCAGATGCAGCATGTGAATTTTTCTAGCTGAGAATCCTGAATGTACAATGATCCTACATGCTTCGGGCTAGATTTAGAATGTGCAAACATTTTTTAAAAATCTGTTGTAAATGTAGTATTACCCCCTTAAGAGTTGCAATAGATTTGGGTCCCCCTATTGTTCTGCACAACCAGGCAAAGCACATTTTCCACAAAATTGCATCCAGGAGCTAGTAATCAGTCCTTGAGCTTGTTTTTAATGTTTTATTAGTGGGATTTCAATTAAGATGGGGTAAGGGGTATATGGGATTCCCAATAGAACTGGTGAACAGAGGACAACTTCCTGGAACTATTTACAAGTCTCTACTGCAACACAGTCTCTTTCGGAGAGCTAGCCAAAATCTCCTGTAGTAGCACCCCAGTCCTCAGATAAACTTCTCTTCTTTACCCAGCTGTCTGCAGGTTTCTCTGTGCGGGGGATCCGGTGCCTTCCACTTTAAGAAATTAGACAGCCCCAGTAGATGGCAAATCTGTTTTCCCACCAGAGTGCTCCTTCTCCTATCTGGCTCAGGGGGTACAGGGTTACTCACTCAGTCCTTCTCCTGTGGTAGGTGGGTCGGTGGGTCTTAACAGGCCTTCTGGCTGGGCCACTGCTTCCCTGCTGCACAGGTGGTTCTCCCTCTAGAGGTCGATGAGGGACTGAGTTTTCATTCTTCTCAGCTCCACTGCTTGTAGATGAGCCCCTCTCTCCATATGCCCCCCCCCCCCCGACTACTGCTTTCAGCTTCCTATTCTCTCTGTCTTCCACCCGAACTGTCCTGCAGCTGAGCAGGCTCGCACATTTTTAAAGGTTGTCCTGGCCCCTTGCCAAACCTCCTGTTGGGGATTGGCCAGAATCCCTTAACAGCACAGGTCAGTCACTCCTCAGATCCACCCACTGCTTCTAGACCTTTCTCCAAAGTTCTAGAGCAGGGGGAAAATCCAGAGGGCTGGTCTGCAGAGCTTCTCGGCTCTGACCAAAGATTGACCCCTGTTAGCTATAACACCCAGGCTTCTACTCAACCCTCCTAGCTAACAATTGAGGTCTAGCTCCTCCTAGCTGACTAGCAGGGTGCTACATAAAGATGATAATATAGTAAAGCATTAATCAGAAAACAGTGTTCTTACCCATGGCAACCACTTAGAAGACATTTAAATCAATAAAATGAAATTCTATTGGTTTTAGTAGTGCACTTTGGACTTTTACTTTGTTGTTTGCACTGGCTTACTAAGTATTAAACCCAAAGCATTACATTTAAAACACAAAATGTAATATATTGTAGCATACCAGTCACTGGATTTTTGGACTGCATTTTCTGTTTTCCTTTTTTTACACACCTCCTGTATTAAAGACCTTACACCCTGGATGAAGGAACACAGGGGGCACCTTTGGACAGCAGCATTGAAAGTCTGGGGGGAAGGGAGTGTTAGATGTACTGGCAGTTTTAAATACACTAACAACTAACAAATTGAAGCTAAGCTCCAGCTCACATTGCAGTTACATAAGCCGCTTTTATTTTACTTCTGTGAGAAATATTTTATATAAATAAATAAAAGCTGATCTTTGTAAGAAACCCCATAGCAGTGGTAAATAATTTGTCTCAGCAGTCTAACTGCTACATTTGCAGGATAGCTTGATGTGCTGAAAAATAACAGACTTACTGGCTGGATCATCAGGTGAAAATAAAGTAAATAAAGAATAGAAAAGAAAAACTAATGCAGCCATCACATTTAAAAATGCATAAACTGCAATACAATAAATGTGGGTTTGGTTGCTTTAAATAATCCTTAAAGCGGTTATAAAGTCTATTTTTTTCTAAAATAATAAACATGTTATACTTACCTGCTCTGTGCAATAGTATTACATAGAGTAGCCCTGAACCTCCTCTTTTGGGGTCCCATGATGTCACTCTTGGCTCCTCCTCTTCTGCATGCAACACTATAGCAAGCTGCTTGCTATGGTGGCACATGTGCAGACTCACTCTACAGTTGGGCTGTATGTGTGTCTATAGTGTCCGTAGACACACACAGTATGGCTCAGCCCCACGTCTCCTTCCCCACTCCCTGATCACAAAATTTGATTGAGAGCAGCAGGAGCAAATGGCTCCAGCTGCTGCCTCTCTGTCCTGTGAGGAGAGAGAGCAGTGCACCTGCAATAGTTTGAGAAAAGATAAGTATGGGAGGGTGGGTGCATTTTTCACCTTAATGCAGGGAATGCATTGGGGTAAAAAATATGTCTTGCATCTACAACCATTTTAAATAACCTGTACATTTATATAGAAATGTTACAGGCAGCTTTCCACATGTCCAGCTTATTTGAAGCCGTAGAGGTCACAAATCACTAGGAAGCATTTGGCAACATTGCTGCTGAAGTTGTGATTGCATTATTTACCCAAACTGGGTATCTATTTATCTTTCATCTAATTTTAGTAGCTTTTCTCCAGAGTTTCAATTAATGTCTGTGTTAACCCTCACCTTGTAAAACAACTCACTCAGTTTAAAATAGAAATGAAAGGCAAAACATGTGCGTATACATATAAAAAAAATATATAAAAACCTTTTTTACCCCCTTTTTATAAGTGATAATATACCGTCTGCATAAGGATCTCAGAAAACTGGGGGGGGGGGGGGGTGAGAAACAGCAGCATACTGGTCTTCCCAGTGAATGACTGTCTGAGGGGGGAGTGTCTCAGCGGAAGCCTGATCATCGAAGGAGAGCATGCTGAGTTCCCAGCACAGCTAAAGAACTGACCATGCTGTGCTCTCATGTCTAGTGTAATCAGTTTTTAATAGGAAATCAGGGGGACTTGCAGGAACACTGGGTATTTCCCTCAAAGGAAGCAATACAAAGAGAACAGGATACATTTTCATTCAAGTACATGGTACAGCAGGCACATATCAGGAATATGAAATGCTGGGTTGACATATTCTTTAAAGCACTCTACTCTCTCAACCAATGCTGGTAGCATTAGTGAATAGATAGGGACATACTGTATATCATATTTACTTGTTTTAACCTTTTTTTGCATTTACTTCCTGGTTTCCATGGCTAGGCAAATTATGTCATACATCTCAGGAATCTTCAGGAGGGGAGGGAGGGTTCTCAGCTCAGCCAATACCTGAGCTAAAGACAGATAGGTTTCAGGAAGTAACTACTACATGAATCATCTGCCCTTACTTAAGATGGTCACTGCCAGAAATGCCAGGAGGTGTTTTTCAAAATATTTTCTCAGCAAAAAAAAAGCATGGATGCATGAATGGATGGAGAAGGTTTTTTTTTTTTAACCTCCCTAGCAGTATTCCCGAATGTAGCTCGGGGTAAAATGTCAGTACCAAAAGCGGTAACCCCGAGCTACACTCGGGCTTACCATGCGGCGCTGCATAGGGAGTCCCTGCAGAGCTTACCTTGTCCTTCGCTCCCACGATGTGTCCCCTGCAGCGTCCCCAGCCATCTCCTCCGGCCGCTGCCGGCATCTGGCTTCTGTGTTCCGGTCCCTGTGATGTCGGGACGTACGGGCGCCGCCGGCGGCGGGAAATTTGAAAATTTTAAAAAATTTCATTTTTTTCCAAATTTTACATAGTAAAACATTGCTGTTTCAAACCATTTCACATACATTTTGTCCCTAGTGCTTTGTCCTGTGCCCTGCCTGCATTTTGTGTGTTCTTTCTGCCTGGAAACTGAGAAACGTCCATGGCGTCCAAAAAGTGTCCCTTTAGGTCAAAAGCAGTTTTAGACCAGCTAGAGAACAGCGATAGTAAATCAGAACCACTTGCAGAATTGAGTGATAATGATTTGTGGGGAAATTCGTCATCAGACACTGAAAACAATTTTGCGACTTTGCTCAGCAATGTGCGAACTTGGCGCTCTATTTCAAATTTCAGTGTTTTTGGTTTGATTATATTATTGAATTAAATGTATTATTATTATATTATTATTTTTATGATTATTTATTAAATTATAATTTATGATTTTGTGTTTCAAATTTTATCATACCCGGAATGTTTACTAGACTCTTGTTCGGACAGATTTCAGTGAGTTATTCCTAAAAATTACAATAAAAAAACGACATATTTCCATGCAAAATAATGGTACCGCTTTCAGCACCAAAAATCTGAAATAATCATACCGCTAGGGAGGTTAATAATAAATAATGCATTATATAGCATTTTTGGTTTGTGGTGCTCAGATGCAGTGCAGTTCCACTGTGGCTTACAGATCCTTGTAGTAGCAGCAGCCGTTGTGGCATTGGTGCTATCCATGGTTCTGAAATAATGTAACAAAACAGGAGTAGTGCTCTTTCCTTGCTTTTGTCATGCAACATATATTTATTGGTGATTTTTCTTTAAGTACCTCTGTACATGCAGGGTAAAAAAAAAATTCTGCTACTAAGAGCAATAAGAAGTTCCTGTGTAGTCTAGGAGTTGCTAGAATCACAGCTTATACATGGCTATGGACTCCCCTACAACAGCACTGACTTGTCTTGCGCTGTCACATAGAGTTAATCTTACCCTCCTCCATACCTGAACACTGTGGCAGAAGAGTGAAACTTATTGGGCTAGTAGATTTTAAATAAACTGTTGTTTTTTCCTGAATGGGAAAAGCACAGGTTTGCTATAAACTCCATGAGCCTCCCATATGGAACCCAGATGGAGGAATAAGGTGGAACAATTCTAAAAGTGCTTTAAGCCAATTATACTAACCATTATCAAGCAGGATTAATAGCAAAGCCTTTCTTTCTTTCTTAAATTGGATACTATGTGGCTGGATAATTAATGGGACAGGAGGGCTATCAGTTAGGCAGACGGGAGCAAAAAGTGATATATTTTTCCGGCAGCTGTGGCCATCATCAGTTGAAGCTTCTATTCGTCTAACAGCAGGAAGAATAGGAGCACAGGTGAAGGAAGCTGAAGGGAAATGGCACAATGAAAGGTGATGTTGTGTGAACTCTGCAGTACGGGATACAATCATTTCTCACTGCTGTTTTCATGTATCAGGGTACATCTGAATCATACTTGTCTATAACTGATAATAACTATATCAGCAGTGCTGCATTTGTGGCTATTTTACGTGTTAAAGGAAGAAAACTTAGCAACATCTGTCTATATTGTGCTATACCAGAAATGCTGCATCTCGGTGAAACCAACAAGAAGAACTTCTTTCCTTGGTCAACAATCTGGTAATAAGAGACTCTGTCACTTGGCAAACAAAATTAAGGTGCAGGCACTCTATAAGAGAAAGGCCTGACCTCTTTTGCAAAGCTACAATGGCTGCTGGTATCCAATTCATCCAGGTGGGTGTGTTGTGTGTCCATCATCTGGCTACCACATCATTGCTGTGTCTTGTAGTGGTGTAGGGGCTGGTGAGTTGAACCACAGTGTGCAGTGAAACAGCAGATATCTGGTTTGCCTGGCCATGCTAGATATCAGTGGATTCTTCTTTTACAGGGTGATTATAGCCTAATTTCATTAGGGTTATTTTTTTTATCATTTGCTTTGGTAGAAACATATTACATAAAATAATTTACAAATTGGTAATATGTTTGCAAAAATATAAGGGTCTTCACATGTATCTGGGAAGCCAATACTTTAAAAAAAATTATGTTGGCAACCCTGCTCAGATTAGATGCTCAAACAGTCCATGTAGTTAATACACTGACATTTCTGGATGCTAGTTGTGCCCTTGTCTGAGCTCATTTTATACACTTATTAACCACTTGACCTCCAGAGGATTTACCCCCCTTAATGACCAGGCCTCTTTTTGCTACTCGGCACTGCACAAATTCAACTGATAATTGCGTGGTCATGCAATGCTGCACCCAAACGAAATTTGCGTCCTTTTTTTCACACAAATAGAGCTTTCTTTCGGTGGTATTTGATCACCTGTGCGCTTTTTATTTTTTACGCTATAAACAAAAAAAGGCCAAAGATTTTGAAGAAAAACAATATTTTTTACTTTCAGCTATAAAAAATATATAGTAAACTCAAAGTTGGTTATAAATTTAGGCCAAAATGTATTCTGCTACATGTTTTTGGTAAAAAAATCCCAATAAGTGTATATTGATTGCTTTGTGTGACAGTTATAGCGTCTACAAACTATGGTATAGATACTGCAATGTACGCCATTCTTTTGCTATACAGTGCTGCGCTAGTTTAAACGGACAATTGCGCGCGGTCATGCAATATGGTACATAAATTGAAATTTACCTCCTTTTTTTCCCCACAAATTGAGCTTTCTTTCGTGGTATTTGATCGCCTGTGTGGTTTTTATTTTTTGCGCTATAAAAAAAAAGGCTAACAATTTTGAGGGAAAAAACAATATTTGGGACTTTTTGCTATAAAACATGTCCAGTAAAAAAAAATGTAAAAATCAAATTTAGTCATAAATTTCTGCCAAAATGCATTCTACGACATGTCTTTGCTAAAAAAAAAAAACAATACGTGTAAATTAATTGGTTTACGTGAAAGTTATAGCGTTTACAAACGGCGGGAAAGATACTGGGATTTTTAGTTTTTTTTTTGTATACTAATAATGGCGCCGATCAGCGACTTATGGCGGCGATCAGTGACTTATGGCGGCGATCAGCGACTTATGGCGGGACTGCGGCGGACATTCTGACATTGGGGGGTACTGACTTGGGGTCACTGACATCCCCAGTGACACCAATACAGTGATCAGTGCAAAAAAAAAAAACCACTGACACTGTACTAATGGCACTGGGGAGGAAGGGGTTAAGTTTATTTTTCAGGGAAAGGGTTAACTGTGTGAGGGGGAGTGTTTTACCAGGGGCCGGAGGTGTGTACTGCAGGGAACACCGCTGATCAGGACAGATAAACTCTTCTATCCCAATCAGCGTGTCCTGGAGCTGTCAGGGAACTGACAGAAAGCACAGCTACTGCAGCTGTGCTTTCTGTCAGCGATTGCCACCGATCGCCGAGTCTTAGCCGGTAACGACCAGCTGTGACCCGGCGACTGACATCCGCAGCTGTGATCAGCGGGACAGGTAGGGCGGCGGCGCGCCTCGCGAGCGCCCCTTACCTGTTTACAAAACGCACGTTTTATAATGTGCTTTTGCCCAGCCGTGCCGCCCTGCTGCTGTACTTATACAGTGGCTGGGCAGCATGTGGTTAAAGTGGTATTATACCCAAACGCAAAAAAGTATTATATTGCAGCTTACCATTTCTTACATGTGATGGTTGCATTAGTATTCTTTTTCAAGATTTCTCTCTTGTAGTTTCATTCCAAACAGTAAAGCTGTTGTTTTTCACAAGAACATGCTCTCTTGCAGATTTATCAAGTTACAAAGATGAGACAAACTATTTAACACAAGAAGAGGTGCTTACAATGATTGGCTTTTATTTATTTATGTAAAACCTATATCCTAAAAGGAAAAACAAAAACGGTTTGCTGTAACTGCTTTTAAAGTATTAGCTGGAGATCAGCTTTAACTTGTTCATGTATTTAAATCTGCTAGTACGTCTAAGACTCCCCTCCCCCCAGACTGGCAATGCAGCTGTCTGCTGTGCCTCCTCTATGCTCATTCCTCCAGAGTGGAGACTCACTAAAATAGTTTGTTAGTGGCCAGATCACCAGGTGAAAATAGAGGGGGAAAAGCCTAAGAAAAGAAAACTGATGCAACCACCACATCTAATGACTTGTAAGCTGCAATATACTGCTCAAAAAAATTAAAGGAACACTTTTTAATCAGAGTATAGCACCAAGTCAATTAAACTCTTGGTCAGTTAAGTAGCAGAGGGGGTTGTTAATCAGTTTCAGCTGCTTTGGTGGTAATGGAATTAACAATAGGTGCACTAGATGGGCAACAATGAGACGACCCCCAAAACAGGAATGGTTTTTACAGGTGGAGGCCACTGACATTTTTTTCCCTACTCATCTTTTCTGACTGTTTTTCACTTGTTTTGCATTTGGCTAGGGTCAGTGTTACTACTGGTAGTATGAGGCGATACCAAGACCCTACAGAGGTTGCACAGGCAGTGCAACTCCTCCAGGATGGCACATCAATACATGTCATAGCCAGAAGGTTTGCTGTGTCTCCCAGCACAGTCTCAAGAGCATGCAGGAGATTCCAGGAGACAGGCAGTTACTCCAGGAGAGCTGGACAGGGCTGTAGAAGGTCCTTAACCCATCTTCAAGACCTGAATCTGCTCCTTTGTGCAAGGAGGAACAGGATGAGCACTGCCAAAGCCCTACAAAATGACCTCCAGCAGGCCACTGATGTAAATATCTCTGACCAAACAATCAGAAACAGACTTCACAAGGATGGCTTGAAGGTCTGACGTCCTCTAGTGGGCTCTGTGATCAATGCCCAGCACCATAGAACTTGATTGGCATTTGCCATTCAACACCAGAATTGGCAAATCCGCCACTGGCGCCCTGTGCTTTTCACAGATAAAAGCACTGACAGAGCCCTACAAAATGACCTCTAGAAGGGCCACTGGTGTGCATGTCTCTGACCAAACAATCAGAAACAGACTTCATGAGAGTGGCCTGAGGGCCCGACATCCTCTAGTGCAGCGTTTTTCAACCACTGTGCCGC